CATCTGACACCAGCATTGTTCAAGGGTGTACTATAGTTGTATCTGCAATTACAAAGTCTCTACTACAACGAGCATTACAAAAGTGACAATGAGTATTCATTGACATTACAAAAGTGGTAACAAGTGTTTGTGGGCATCACGAAACACAACTTGGCCGTACTTTGATACCCTGACACCTAATTTTATCAGTTCTTCCCTGACTGTAAGATACCAGACACTTGAGGCATCACTTAAATCATAAAAACATTTGTTTGATTTCCATAAGTAGCCTTGTTTTCTTTCAGTTTCTGTAGCTGGGGTTACAAAAATAGCCCTATTGAAACTCTTTCTTTGAAAGAATTTTGTCTTGATATCTTGTACATTTGCACTCCATACAAATGATCTTATGATTGCTTGCATGATGTTTAAACTTGCCTTAGCACATGTAGAAGAGTCACTTCTAATGTACTGGGCATTTATACCAATTTGGTAATCAGCCATACTGATCTCAGGTGTACTTGTGTATTTTTCAAACTTTTCGTAAGCTCTGAGAGCTAAAAGGTTGAGATTTACTTTAAACAATTTATCAAGCTTTGCATTCAGTTGTGTCATGCCTTCTTTGTCATTTAAATAATCTGGATCCATTTCCAAGACAGCCTCCCTGGCATTACCAGTGAGGCTCAAAAATACTCTCAAGGTTCTTTTAGCTTTTGCCACATTAGTGACCATCTCCCAAAATTTAATTTCCTTTCACCAGGACTCCTATTTGCTTGGCTTTAGCCTTGGTAAGACTATAATACTGCTTTTAGCCATTTTAAAACTATGCTTTGTTACTAGTGTCAAATTATTTTATGGATATTATGCTGGCAGCAGAAAATTTGTTCAGTCCTGAATTACTCTGACAAAATTCACCAGGCATCTAAAAGTTTTCCCTTTTAGAGAAAACAACTAGTTTAAATTGAGCTACTTGGGCTGAATGCATTTGAACCATTAGTAACAGAGGTTAATTCAGCAAAGCATTAGTTCTTAATCCTTGGAGAAGTTCAGTCTCTATTCCATAGAACAAATCTTAGGACTCATACACACATGCACTTTTTGAACAACAAAAATATTAAAAATTAAAATTTTCAGACACACTTAGTTGTATATTAATGTTTTTTTGTTTTATTATTTCAATTAGTTTCCTCAACTAGTTTTGGCCATCATAGCCATCATCAGGAGAAAAAAAATCCATGCTTGTTAGTGACAGTGAACTACAGGAGTGAATGATTGTTTCTGAAGAAAGTGAACTTTATCAGTAGTTTTCATTTGTTTTGTGTTTTTTGGTTAATTTTGGTCAATCATTGTGTTGGTAAGACAGCCTTTTTCAAGTTGTTTTTAAGATAGATAATGGGAAATTCTTGACTTGTTCATTTTGTTGGTTTTATTGGTTGCTAGGAATGGGATGTGTGTGTTAAGTGTGTTATCTTTTAGTTCTCTGGGAGTGTGTGATGTGTGTATGTGTATATATTAGTATGAGTGTGCATATAAGTATGAGACCTCAACATCTCTGCAAGCATGTCTGCCTTGTGTGGGTGAGAAATGTGGGTAGGGTTATATATTAATTCTATCTATCTTGTTAAATTTGTGATTAGGCCCGTCTAGACGAAGTGCTTTCAGATGCAAAATCCATTTCTCTTCATGCTCCTCTAGTATTTTTCCAAGGTTATCTTTTCTGTCTGATTTTATTTTTTCAATCATAGTAGATTTTCCATGGCTTTTAAAATCATGTTCTAGGTAGAAACATTGTTCTACAGATAATAATCTTTCATGGGCTGCCAACTTGATCTAATTCTGATAATTATTAATTCTGTAGTGAAAGGCCATTCAGATTTACATATATATATTGTTTCTGGCATAGTGTGCATTCTAATAGGTAAATTATGTTAACACTTCTACAGATTTTGAAAGTAAATTTATTAACTGAGCTAGTGAACAAATTGGTATGTCTAATGTGATTACAACAGAGGCACCTTTTGTTGTTACATGATTGGGAGAATTCTTTTGTTTTTATTCTTGGTCTATTACAGGTTACCTTATCATCTGAAATTTGGTTGCTACCTATAATTTCCTTAAGGTTTTTAGGTCTATGATATGCTACAAGGCTGGTTTCCTCAAAGTTCTTAGGTCTGGTTTGAGATGTAGTATTTCTCAGCGATTTTTGATTATTTTTGGTAGTGGAGGAAGAGTGGTGTTGAAGTGGTTACTAGTGGGATGTAGCTGGATTTATTTTTAATTGTATACATTAGGCTGTCTTCTCTAGGTGTGGAAATTGCTTTATTTATTTGTTTCCTGATTAGATGTTGCTTATAGCCATATGTTGGGAATTCATGCTTGAGATTTTTAGCGTGTTTCCTTAGTTCTTCATTGTTAGAACATATACTTCTGAGTCTAAGTGCTTGTGAATAGGGGTGGTTATTCTTGAGGTGTTTAGGGTGGGAAGACTTAAAATGCAGATAGTTGTGAGTATCGGTGATTTTAGTGTGTAGAGTCATTTGTAGTTTTCTGTTATTGATGTAGATATGTGTGTCTAAAAATGTTACCAACCTTGTTGATTTTTCATGGTCGAACTTAACGAAGTCATGTACTGTGTTTAGAGTCAGAAGGAATTCAGTGAGTTTCTTCTCACTGCTTTGTGTGTGTATATATATATATATATATATATATATATATATATATATATATATTTCAATAAAGGTGCAATTAATTTACAAATTCATGAATTATTCATACAAAAAACAAATACAAAGGTTAATGATTTAATTGGCGAGAACTCCATCATCGCGAACAATTCAAATAATATACAAAAACCCTGAACCTGTTTATGAATGAAAAGATCCTTGTTTCTATAAATTTCTGTTGCATGAGTTCTTATTATTTTTACAAGCTTTCGTCTGTTCCTACAGACATCCTCAGGTATGGAATAGATTTTGTTCTTGTTTTTACTCTCAGTAATAAGAGGACAACAAAAATATATGTATTGTTGTATTCCGAAAAATGCTATTAGAAATGAGTTATTGTTTTTGGAGCGTGCTGTCGCAACGCTGAGTTTGAATTTAAATTTTACAATTGTGCATTCTTATACAAATAAGCATGAGAAACATTCATAATATACACAGTTATCAAAGAAGCCAGGTGCAGTAGCTGGTTAACCTGGGATAACTATTGGCAGCTGAATGCAGAAACACATAACCTAACACCTGCATCTGGTTTTGCAAGTATGAGAAAAGATTCATGATATACACAGTTATGGCAGTCTCTCAGATGTAGACAAGAATGAAATGTTCCAGGTTTTGGACAAGAGCAATGGTAAATTCTTTCCACACTGATCAAGCATAATTGTCAAAGTGAAGTAAAAAATAATGTTAAATAACAAAAGAGTCAAGTCTCATATTATTTATTAGTAAAAAGATTATAAATCAGCTAAAATAAACATATCATTACATACTCTTTTATTGCACTGTTGTTTGCTCCCAATATATTCTTAATTAGATTTAATGGAAAATATGGTTTTGCTCCAAACAGCCTTTTAGCTGACTTAATTGAAAATTTGGCAAAGCCTTTTCATTCTTGATTTAAAATTGTTCTAATTTGGACTCAAACACTTAGAAACATTAGTACTGAAGCATTTGTAAGAATTCAGTAGAATTGGTTACTGTCTTGTGCTATCTACACTATATCAAGAAATACCTAGGTGCAGGTGTTTCAAAAATCACCTTGGCTTTTTTTCATACATTTTTTCTTTTGTTCTCAGAACTTAGATTAAATATTAACAGTAGAAGCTAAGAAGATAGGTAATAAATCTTATTATTAACCTAAGTTCTGTTAAAAAAAAAAAGAAAAGAAAGAAAAATGTATGAAAAATACGTTGGTGACTTTTGGAACACCCTGTACAATCAGTTAAACCTGTTTTCTTAATCTTGTTCTTTTATTGGTTTTTCTCCTTAATAATGTTTACTTCTTTCTCATATTCTCTCAAACTCAGTAACCCCTTGCATCATATTGGCTTTATTGCCTTACTTGGAGTGAAACGTTTAAAAAGATATACAAATATATAAATATTTCTTTGTTCAACAAATAATTTAAAACTGTTGAGCTGTGAAAGTCATATTGTTGTTCTGATAAACTGATATCAGAAATTTATTTCACTACTTGTCAAATTACCTGCACCTTGCTGCATGTCACACATTTTTTTTTCTAAGAAAATAATGATTGATTTTAAATCATTTTTATAATTTGTGGAGAAAAATGATACATTTTAATATTACTCAATGATCTTGATGATGTGACCTCCATCTTCTGGCTTTCTCCTATATTTTGGATAGGAGTCATTCCCTTGTTTAAATTTAAATCAAAGAGAAAAAAATTTTCAGGGAGTAGGGGTTGTGCCCCCAGGGACTTTGATCAAAATGAAATATACTTATCCAAATACCCTGGGTAATGTACTTTCGGAATATATGTGGTTATGGAGTCTATCTCCAAGCCCTAGGAGCAGTTCAATAACAGACAGAAGCTACAACTATATATATATTTTTCAACTGCACTGTGAAAAAGTAAATTATAAAAATTAAAAAGTACCAAAGAAAATTAAAAATTATAAAATTATAAAGAAAAAACTGACTGAGGCACAAAATTACAATATTGAAATTATTCACAAACACATGACTAACTTTTTGTGTTAGATTTTAATCACTTTGATAACACCTCCATTTATTTTCTTATCAAAATGTTTTTTTTTTCACCTTATGGGAAGCAATGAAATATCTGACCAACAATACATTTGCCCCCCAAAAAAAACTTGCTGAGTAAAAAATCTAAAAAATGAATCAACATTGGCAAAAAGAAAAAGACAGTAACAATTAAAATTTTTCCAAATGTTATTTTAATAAATAACAAAGTTACATGAAGAATTATTTCTTGATTTTGATTTCTCCTGAAATGTCAAACTGGAATGCCACTGTTTATTTTTGTTCTATCCACAGAGTTATTGAGTCAGAATCAGTCTACTTTGATGCTTACTGGCATCGCCATTTTCTTTACGTTCTTCGGGGTGACTATCCATCAGCTCTTGATGACCTGAACTTTATCCAAGAGCGCAAACCAACTTACAAAGTTTTCATGGCACTGTGAGTATACAACCTTGTTGTTTATTGCTTTAAACTTATGTTTAGCCCTTGTTAAACTGGTAATTTCTATTCTGTCCAATATTACTGATCGCTTCAAAATTGTACAAATGTTTAGTGCTTTATATTTCATTCCTGATAAATTCCTTATTCTTCACTAATGTTCTCTGAACTAATAACCTTATCTCTTTTTGGCATTTATTATATTTCATCAGAATACTTAAGACTGGATACCAACCTGTAAATACTACTGAGAAATATTAAAGAAAAACCTGGAGATGAAAACAAAAAAGAAGTATAATCCAAAAATATTACTTAAATGATAACTATATCACTTTTAAGATTTTCTTTAAAAATTGTACTGAATACATAAAAGCACAAAACAAAAAGGGCAGTTTTTTTAATAAATTTTCCCAAATACCTGCAGTTTCAAACATTTTTTTCAAATAGTCACATTTTCACACTGGTTTGTTAAATGCTTTTTAGATAAATGTGTTAACATCTGGAGATCACCTGTGTGGATATGGTGTTGGAGATATTGTTTAGTGATGTTTATCAGAAACATTAGACATAAAACAAACTGGAGTAAGGTGTATGTACAAATCATATATTATTATTCAGAGTTCTTTAGTATGATGAGTGACTGCTTTGATATTTGGAGTCACAAAAATATTCGTTTATAAGGCGAGTATTGGTAGCAATCTGGAGAAATGTCTGTTTTGAAGTCAGACCATGCTAGGGGTAGGAGTGATAGTAGAAATTTTCTCAGCCCTAACCAGAACAGAAATAACATTAGCAGACTTCATGCATCATGTATGGCTGGTTTCTCAAGTGGTCACATCTCTGTTCATTATCATCCTTTCTGTTTCTAGCTTAGAGGCATCAGCTGATATACTTTTGACCAGGCTCCGAAACTGGCATGAACATTGGTTTCAGCTAACATCAAATGTCTCGTTGTGTCAATTTTTTGGATTGGCCAAATTTATTTTATTTTCCAACATTTTCTTTTTCATTTTTTTTAATAATGGAAGTTATGCATGGAGCCTCCCTGATTTTGTTATTTTCCATTCATGAATAACTAGGCTCTGATCCTGCAAATTTCCAGCATTTATCAGCTGAGTTCAATCTTTTCTTCTTCCTCTTTTTATCTAAGGGTTGCCTTTTTGTTAGTTGAGAGAAGTATAGAAAGAGAAGTTCACAGAGAGAGAGAGAGAGAGAAAAAGAGATAAGGGTTTTATCAGAAAGTGCAAATTTCTTATTTTTATTTTAATTCTTTTTATTTTTGTTTGTATATTTTATTTTTATGTTCAGTTTTATTCTATTTTTATTGGGACTCATTACAACCTGTACCTTCAGAAAATTTTACCAAGTAGCATAATTTTTACCCAGTTTTACTACATGCCTGCATTTCAGATTTTATTGCCAAACATATACAGTTTCAAACAGTTTTGTCAAATCACATTTTCAAACCACTTTGCCAAATACCTAAACTTTCAGACTAAATGCCAACACCCTTCAGACAGTTTTACCAAATACCTAAATTTTGACACTGGTTTTCCAAATATACACACTTTTATATTCTTTTGCCAAATAAACACTTTTTCTGAGTTTTGCCAAATCCCTGTATTTTCAGACAGTTTTGCTAAAGACTTTACTCCTTTTACCATTTTGGCAATAATCTGCACTTTCAGACCAATTTTTTTTACCAAATACCTACACCTTCAAACAGTTTTGTGAAGTACCTGTGCGTTCAGTCCATTTGGATAAATACCAGCACTTTCACTTTTACTAAATTTCTGCACTTTTACACCATTTTGTTGAACCATTTTGGAGGTGTATATTCCAACTACGATTGTTCACAGTACCATAGTTGGAATATTGTAAATGACTTTGCTTTGAGAATCAATAGTGAAAGAAGGCAAACAATATAGATTTTAATCTAATGGACATAAATGGCACCAATTTACAACAGTAGTTCAATTCTCACAGAGAATCTATAAGCCAAAATCAGTAAATAGTTGTAACAGGTAATTTTTGTTAGAACTTTTGAGGTGAGGAATTATTAGACTAGTATCCTCATCTTGGTAGTTACACACTTTGTTTTGGCAATTGTATGCCCTGGCATTCTTTGGAAATGGAAATGCTACATAAAGGTGCATAAGACTAAAGAGTGCAGATATGAAGTATCCCCTAACCATGGAGAGTAGAATTCTATGCATATGAAGTGAAGAAAGGGTTTGGTTTAAATTTAATGAAAGTTATCAAATAACACATCTGAAGAAGGCTAGAGGCTACAGTGGTTGAAACATTATGGATATAACAACTATGATGAGCTTACATAATAGGAGGTTTGAACATCTATTTAATAATATACAATGTAAGATTTCAAAAGCATGATGACAAATTATTTAAGATTACTTGGTGTGTCAATTAAATAGCAGTACTTATTTCATTATATTTATGACAGAAAAATAAAAATTTCATCTTTGATGATTTCTGAAGTCAGGTGTTGTAATAAAAAGTTTGCTATGAGAGTGAAGCAAACAGAAAGCCAATTTTCTGTATCTGCCAAATTTTACAAGTAAGGATGACAAAAGAATTTTTTGTAAAGGTTTTGTTAAGCTAGAATTATTTTTGTTGCTGCAATAAAATTTGTCCAACTTTTGATGAAAATGACATTTTTTTTCTTTGGTTCTCTTTTCTTTTTCAAAAAAAAAAAAAAGTGAAGCAAAGCCAAAAAGGGATTGTTCAATTTACAAAAAAAAGGAAAAAGCTAAAATATACTTTGAATTTATGTCTGATGTTGTGATATTGAATGTACAATTTAAAATATATATATAATATTAAAAGGAACCTTGATTTTCTACATTTATGTAAATATATGAATAATGTTAATGTATGGAAGTAAAAAAAAAAAAAGTTTATCAATTTTATAACTTGGGTTTTAATGTTTTTCTATATTGGTTTCAATCTGGTTTGGACTTCAAAACACTTTCCCTGCTCTTTTATAGGCAGAAGTACGCAAATGCATGCTGGGATTTTTTCCTAGTCAATAAAATAGGCCACTTCTTATTTTTGTCTAACTCAGTCTCATCTGTCTTGTCTTGAAGTCAGAATGCTACGTTTACTTGGCAGAACTTGCTCAACACCAATTCTTAGTTTTTGAATTTTGTTATCTTATTACTGTTAATTTACCTTACATATATAGTTTGCTTGTTTTATATTATTTTTTGCCCTGTTCTTTTCTTTACTTTTCTTTTTCTTGTTATTGCTAAATTTTCTAATCCTGTTTGTTAAACAGTTCTGTTACTTATTTTGTATTTGGCCATGGCTAATGACTCCAATTACTGACATCATGAATTTTCCTGTCTAGAGAAAATAATGCAATTATTTTTATTTTTATGGACTAATGAAAAAGACTGACAATTTTCATAAAAGTGGGCAAAAAGTAAGTGCCCAGGTTAGCATTAAACTCTCACTGAGGTTCATCTGCCTTTTGACCAGTCTTGCTTTTTAATCCTGGTGGGCATCTAACTTCTCTCTTCACATGAAAAACCTGGTTTAATTGCTGATGACCAGTACATGCTTCAGGTTGTTCTGTTTAAGTAGACCTGATCTAACAGGTTTTATAAAAGTAAAAATCAAAGACAAATGGACTGATGTTCAGAAAATATTTATAGATTTTTTTTTTTGTATTTTAAAAATATTTTAATTACATCAATTTCAATTTGATTAAATTAAGTATTTAAATTAAATTTTGGTCTGAAAAATGCTTCATTGCTATTCATGCTCTCTAAACTGGCAAGAAACAAGAGAAGATAACTCGAAATATTTACTTTTTTTAACAAATTATACCACACAGAGCATGCAAAGAAAAAAAATACAAACTGTAGGATTAACTGTATGAATGAGAAAGGTTAAGCATTAATGATATGCAAACACCAGTAAGAATTTACTTTTTTTTTTATTTTCAGGGGTGTCCTCTATGAAAATATGAATAATAAAAATTTGGCCCTGTCCAACTACACAAAGGCCACACAGATTGACTCTACAAATCATCTGGCTTACTTTTATCGGGCAAAGTTGTATGAAAAGGTAAGTTCTGCCTTTTTTATGTACAAAAATGAAGGTAAAGAGAAAAGAAAAACCTATGATTTAAATAAAAAAAGGACAATTTAATGTAATATAAAATACAAAATCTTGTTCAAAAGCACACTATATATATATATATATATATATATATATATATATATATATATATATAGTTTTAAAGTGTGTTATATTTATAGGTGAAAGTGCTTAATGTCAGAGATAGAATATATGTAGATATAAAAATATAAAAGTGGACACTGAGGACAACACTCTGTTTCATGCTTGAACATAGTCCTCATTCATATTTTTATAGCTACAACTCTCTCTCTCTCTCTCTCTCTATATATATATATATATATATATATAAGTTTTATTTTTTTTAAAAAAAGCTCTGTTTAATTTCTTTATTATATTTTCCAATTTTCAAATAAGCTGTTTGGTTTTGTGCTCTAAATTATGGAGGAAGTATCAGAAGTTCATATTGTGTTATTGTTTTCTTGAAGTACTTTCAACCATCACAATCAAGTTCAGGAATCAATATGGTGTTTGTGTAGAGTAGGCAATTCCTTTGTTCACATCCTTTATTCTTGACGGTAGATATTTGAAATAGTCTATGGTGATGTCATGTGTAATAGTTATCAGGGATTAGGCCCCACAAAAAAGAATACAATTTCTTTTATTTATATATATATATATATATATATATATTAATAAATCATATTCACTTTCAGATACCATCTGTTGCAATGAATGATAATTTATATATTGTGGAATGTTTGTTTTGTATAATAATTTGCTTCTAGGATTTTGAGTCTTTCTTTGTCTTCGGTGCTGTAGGATATTTTAGTATTATTCACTCATATTTGTCTTATGTTGATAATTGTATTTTGTTTGTTTTTGGTGTGCTGGTTGATAGGTGCATGGATTGCACTGAGTTTTGACAGGTCAGTCTGCAAGAGAATGAAGTGTATGTATGCCTAATGTAAGAATTTAATGCTGTATTTTTATTATGTTGGAAATGCAATCTCTCTGAGTGAAAGACATTTCATAGACAACATTATTTTTTACATAGGAGAGACTTTTGAGTTCCTATATTTACCTCCTAAATTTGATAAAAAAAAAATCACTAGTATAAAGTCATGTCAAGGCAGGATTTACTGAACCCCCCAAAATCTCTTTTTGAATATATTATTCTATAGGGAATTAAGCAACATTAAGCAAACTCTAATCTTACTTATTATAAAACGCAGATTTTGTGTGTGTGTGTCTGTACATTTAAATATTAGATCGGATTTCCTACATTTTTCAACTGATTTCAACAAAACTTCACAGGACTGCGTAAAATTACCTTGCGGTGGTTCTGACAGTGCCAAAAATTGGAAAAACACAATTGTTTTTGCATGAAATCAATTTGAAAACATGATAAAACATGATTCTGTCACCAGAATGAAAGGGGGACAACTCATATCGAGTTATACTTATTATAAAACCCAGGTTGTTTGTATGTGTGTGTGTGTATTCATTTATATATGGGATCGGATTTCCTACATTTTTCAACCGATTTCAACAAAACTTCACTTATTTTTGGCAGGTAGTGTTTCTTATTGTCTTGCACACTTTTTTCTTTATTTTTATATTCAGAATGCTTTAAAAATTTCATTTACAAGACAATTGTTTATAATAAAATTCTATTTAATTGATAGACTCATAACGATTGAAAACAATGTTTTTGTTTGAGTTTGGGTTTGACCAATTCGTTAAAAAAAAAAAAAAAAAAACTAATTAAGACATGCGTGTTCATCAACCTTAAACAATAATCTTTGTCAATTTTATTTTTCAGTCTTTATGATGGTCGATATTTGATCTATCTCTTACTGTTACATCCCCGGGCAACGCCGGGCTCTACTGCTAGTCAACAATAACTTCCCTAGCCATGTACTCATTGAATAAATAAAATTGGATTATCCTTAACAAAATTTAGAAAAAATAACACAAGGAACCACCCTGCCCAATGTCAATAAAAATAAACCCACCATTAGCTTATGATATTGTAACAAAATGCTCCCTAATTATAAACAGGATGAAAAAGCAATTAAAAAAATAATTCACCGGTACATATCACTTAATGATCTGAACAAACATCTAAGATTTATCATCTACTATAAGAGATTTAAAACATTTAATCTAATTATTACGGACAAGATAGGTCAAACTGTAGCCAAGTGATAAAGTGTGCTGGATCAAATGAGGGTTTCTTCTACAGTGGATGCCAGTTTGATCCTTGTCAGAGAGTACATTTCTTTTATTAAGATTTCTCAAATACATAAGCTGATAGATGTAATAAACACTATTAAAATGAAAATGGTTCATCTGATTCAAATATGAGTAGCCATTATAATAATGTTTAAAATAATAACTGCTGGATTAAAAATAGATCCATTAATCTTTTAGGAATGTCTTTGCTTATATTTCGGATATGAAACTGAGCAGATGTAGGCCTTTCAAGAAAAATATGACTAAGGAAAGGGAAAATAGAACTTTGCTGAACTGTGATGTTCTCTGTAGTCAAATGGGAAAGCACACCAGATCAAATGGTGTTTCATCAACAAAGTGGAGGACACATGTTGAATCCCCATCAGAGAGCATACTTTCTTCATTGAGATTTTGTTATATTCCATGATGTTGGGATGAACAAAAATGAATGAAAATAAATGACAAGTGTGTTTTAACACATAATAAAACAAATTATATTCATTCACTGTCTGAGAACAGCAAGGATTGAAACAATGAATTTCATTTGCGTGTTTGCTTGTCACCATGTTCAATTCAGAAGTGGCACGCTCATCTACACAGACAAGGGAAGTAACTACAATTTTATTTTGAGCTATCATCCTTTATAGGAGAAGGAAATTAGCTTCCCCTAACAGATTTCTTGAATGTACTGGCCAACAGATGTAATGCACACTGTTTAAATTGAAAATGGGGCATCTATTTCAAATAAAATTATTCCCCATAACATTTAAAGTAATAAAAATGTCAGATTAAAAATGAATTCATTAATTCTTTAAATATATATATATATATATATATATATATTGTATAATAAAACAAATTAGGATGCTATAAGAATTATGTTGAATGTAAAATACATAATGAGAGTTAATACAAGTATATAAAAAAAAAAACAATACTCAAATATTGCAGCTTTTCCGCGACTTCAAATTTCATGTGGTTGTTCTGCTTGTTATACAACATTCTCACAATCTTCAGACAGTTCATGCAACAAGATACTAAATAAATCAACATATAAGAAAGAATATAAATAGAATTTAGTATCTTGTTGCTGGATCTGTCTGAAGATTGTGAGATTATTGTATAATAATGAGTGTCCACACAAAACTTTAAGTTGCAGGAAATCAGCAATATTTAAATATCATTTTTTAATATATTATATATATATATATATATATATATATATATATATAATAGCTGCTCCTTCTCTCACTATTAATTCAAGAAAGTCAAGGTAAAAAGTTAGTTTGAATTGAAAATAATAATAATATTATTTAGAATTGTATTTTGTTTAGAAATGATTTGTTACTGATATGTTTTATTAAAAAAAAATACTTATGTTGACCTGCCTGCCCCACCCACAAATGGGACCATGGGTTTCGGAAAAAATATATAAATTTTTATTTTTAAATTCAAGTTTCCAACTATCAGCTATGAAACATTTTGATCTAAAATTAAATGGGGAATAATTATATCCCCCTCCTATGATTAACTTGGGAAAGTCAAGGTAAGGAGTTACTTTTAACTTTAAAAAATAAATAATAATAACAATAATGTATATATATATATATATATATATATATATATATATATACTACCTGTTGCACGGTTGGGCAATCAGAGACTAAACCGTATACTTCACCAGGTCTATGTGGTGAGAAGAGTGGGTAGAGAATCTGCAGGACAAAAACAAGTCCTGTCAAAGTGTAAATGAACCTCTTTGAATGGTCAATGTCCATCTAGCAATTTCTGTATGAGCTCATAGAAATATTTTGGCTGCTATCCAGGTTGTGTGGTTAGCCCACTGGGGACTTTCCAAGCCTTTTGGCAGTCACCTAGGAGAAGGAAACTCTGATAGAAAACCCACCTCATAGCCACACTAGATATCTTGCAATTGCTTGTCTCTGGACAATGTGGTTTTGTGGTGAGGGTGGATGCAGTGCTGTGCAAGCTACATCCTTAATACCTGCACGGGTATTACTGACAGCTTTCTAGTCCAGGTTGGGCCTGACAAATAATATGGAAGGCCACAATGGACGTAATGATGTTCAAAGTTTCCTTCCACCAATCAAAGATGATTTGATATGCCACATATGTAACAAGAAATGCAGATTAATGGCTGGCTTTATGAGCCACTGTCATTCACACGACTTATGAATGCAGTGTTGTGTCGGGGTTTAAGTGAAGGGGTCGACATGTCAGTACTGGTCATACTTGCTTTGTTAGTTGACAGCCACCATATGTATGGGTATATCTGTATCTATGCTATTGTTGGATGGGTGGTGACTAAACTGGCACTCGACTCCTATTTTTTGTGAGTGAAGTGGTTTGTTAGCAAACCAGTATGATGAAAAATAAGACCTCTGAAAGTGTGGAAGAGCTTTTGACAAGTCAACAGCCTGCTTACAAGATAAAATCACCATGGTGAAGGCAATGGAAAACCACCCTCCTATAAACCCCAAGAAAGTAAATGCTTTTTTCATAAGCAAGTTGTGAAAGATAATGGCATGAAGAGGGTTAAGTTTATTGGAAATAACTTCTCACCCAGTAAGGAGGGACAAGTGTCACCAGACTGTTATTCAACACCTGTTCACTTCAAACACCATAAGGGGGTGGTCAGACTTCTTGGGAATTGATCCTTCACTCAAAAAAGAAAGATGTTAGTAACAGATGCCACCAGACTGTCATCTAGCAACTGTTCACATTAAACA